CTATAGAAATTCAACTTAGTTGAGTTTCTATAGACAGTTTTGCACACTGTATGAGAAAATAGTAGCTGGGAAATGTTAGGAGATGAAAAAACAAAAACTATTTCCCCTCCCCCCCTTTCAAAAACTGAGCCGGTTTCTAAGAAATCAAGGTAACCAAGTATTTCTATTGTTTTTCTCGTAAGAACAGGCTTTAAAATTAAAACAAAAAGCATTTTTCAATGCAGTTTTGCTCGCTCTATTCAATCATAGAGAAATAAAAAATTTTAAAGTTCTGCTCAAATTTCGAATTAGTCGCACCTTAAGTATAGAGAAACTCACAAGCGCTTCGAAGTTCATTCGATAGCCCGAGTTTTAGGTTATTTTTGTGCCTGAAAGTCAGTTTGTCCATGTATCGTTTAACAGAACTTCAAGGTATTAAGAAAGCCTACTGAGGATACATAACGATGACGCCATAGTCTTTCAGATCAACTTTCCATATGCAAAATCAGAAGAAGTCAGCTTCTACTAAAGCTGGTTAGATAGCATTTTTCATGGCCTACAAAATCCTAAAACGATTGACATAGGTGAAGTTCTCATGAGATTCCTGTACTTCCACCTTGAATTCGCTCAGGAACTTGTTCCAAGTAGATCTTGACAAGCTCTATCGATAGGTATAATCAGATTTTCCATAACTCAAACGAGTCGCCTGTAAAATCGATTTTTCGATTTTTTCAATATGAATTCGAGATCTACTGGAGCGTATTTCCACCCCAATTCGCCCAGCACCTTGTCCGAAATGTTCTATTGTTGTTCCGACTAGACCTGTGTTAGCTCCGTAAGTTGATACAATCAGATTTTCCATTGCTCAAAACGGTCGCCTAAAAACTGGATCTTTCGATTTTTATTCCATGCGGACCAATTACTCTCAAAATATTTCCACCCTCGATTCTTCCAGAAACTTGTTCCAATTCCAGAATTCTTATTTCAAGTAGAACTCGACGTGCTCTGTCGAGCGGTGCAATCAAATTTTCCATTGCTCGAATCAGTCACCTATAAAATCGATTTTTTCGCTTTTGTTCCATTGAGGCCAATCATCTTGAAAAGGATTTCCTTGCCGGATTTCTCTATGCACTTAGTCCAAGTGTGCTATTCTTGTTCTAATCACAACTCGATGATATTTGGATGCAATAATAATAGCTAATTTTGTACAAGTTCCTCGAATGATCGCTGAAGGAAACGCTCAAGGGGAGCTGAGAATTCATTGGGAAAGAGTCGAAAAGTCTATTTTTAACTCGCGTCTTTTAACCTATGATATATGTGATTATATCAGTTGATAGAGCTCGTTGAGTTCTACTCGAAATAAGAATAGGACACTGGGAACAAGTTTCAGGGCGAATTAGGAGTGAAAATACTTTTCAGGGTATCCGAACTCCATGATGAGAAAACCGAAAAATTGATCTTCAAGACGATTGGCTTTGAGCTATGGTAAACTTGATTATATCAATTGATAGAGCTCATCGAGTTCTACTTGGAACAAGAAGAGGAAAATTGGAACAAGTTCCCGAGCTAATTTGGGGTGGATATAGTCGAACCTGGTGATGACTTCACGTACCTCAACCATTGAAATTAATAAAGATGGACCGATAAAAAGTGAAGAACCATACTGTAAAAATGATGTTGATTCGATATTTAATGTAACATAGTTGATTTATTATTTTTTTCTCCTAAAATCAGAAGAAGTTAACTCCTATCATCGCTGGTTGGACAGCATTTTTTACACGCTACAAAATCTTATAGCTCTTAAAATTACTAAAGGTGCGCGAAACTAAAAGCTAACGGCCATACTCTAAAGATTGTGTCCATTTTATCCATAGGTTATGGGTAACAGGCAGACAAACATCAACACTCATACCTAAACATAAGAAGTCCAACGGCTAATAGTGCAATGTAGCTGACAATCCTGGAGCAATAATCTCACGACATGGTAAGTTTCTATTTCCAGAAAATTTAAATAAAACGATTATGGGAAAAATTTCAAGGAAATTCAAATTAATACTTCGATAAATGGGCATAGAAAACAAATTTTAAAATAAATACTATGTAGCAATGAAGTCTACATTTGTAGGATTGGATTCAGTTAGGAAATTCATTTTAATATGAAAATTTTACAGGGATGAAGTGTATATTTTTTAGGCTGGATTGGGTCAAAAAATTCATTTTTATATGAAGAGTTTATAGGGATACATTATATATCAAGCCTCGAAATAGGCCACCCGGTCCGGCCTGGCCAGATCCGATCTATGGAGATTCTCATTCCGGATCAGGGAGTCTATGGGCTTTTTTATTTCAAACTGAATTCTAAAATCAAAAAAACCGCACCAATTTCTTCGGAATCAAACTTTTCTCGTTTGATACTACGTAGTCCCACTAAAAACCCTTAGTCCCCCCTAGTCCTGCAAAGTCCCCCTTAGTCCCCCTCACAAAAAGCTTAGTCCCCGCTTAGTCCCTTGTGCAGGGGACTAAAGCCTATAGTACACAAAGCCACAAGCACACCCTCACCCTCACTCGCGCGCCCACACCCGCACCATGGGTGTGGGTGTGTGTGTGGGTCCCAGATCAACACCCACACCCTCAGTCACTCCCCCCCCCTCACTCCTAGACTCACGTTTC